TAAGACACCAGCAATGACCAGCCTGTCCCCTCTGCTACTCCTCGCCCACCAGTGCACTCTCCAAGCCACTAACCTGCCTCACCAAGAAGATGCAGCCGCCTCCCCATGGTCCCCCACCCAACATTGCTAAGTCCCATCATGTCATTCCCTGCTCAAATGCCTGCTATGGCTTCCTGCAGCTCTTGGTATCATGTAGGAATTCGCTTCATAATTACTTTCTAAATTGTATGTGTGTGTGTGTGTGTGTGTGTGTGTGTGTGTGTGTGTGTGTGTGTGTGTACGTAGGAATTCGCTTCATAATTACCTTCTAAATTGTATGTGTGTGTGTGTGTGTGTATGTGTGTTTGTATCTGTACTTTTCTGTATGTATATTACAGGTGACAACATAAGAAGAAAAGAAAAATCTTGGATTTGTCTCAACAGATAGTGAAACTTATAATAAAGCAAATTTTAATCTTTGAAACATACAGAAAATTGGAACAATACAGATAAGATTAGCGTGGACCCTGCGCAAGGATAACATGCAAATTCGTGAAGCATTCCATATTAATAAATAAATAAATAAATAAAATAAAACAAAATTCCTTACTAGACCCACAAAAGCCTTATGTAGTCTGGAACTCCCAACCTCCCTCCTTATCTGTGCTCCAGCCATACCACCCTCTTTTCAGCTTTTCCAAGCACCATGCTGTGTCCTACCTTAGGGCCTTTGCACATGCAGTCCCTCCTGCCTGGTCCACTCTTCTCTTCCTCTCACCCCCACCCCCACCTAATTAATTCCTGCTCACCCTTTAGACCTCAGCTCAAAGCATCACTTCCTCAGGGACACCTTTCCTGACCATGCAGATGAGGTCAGGCTCCTTGGTAAATTAAATTCCTTACAGAACTAAATTCCTTTCTGCCTCAGTTTATAAACACATACTCCTTTGTGTGAGCATTTGATTAACTGCATCTTGTGCCCGCTTTGGGTCATCACTGTATTTCCAGTGCCTGGCATATAGCAGGTGCTCAAAAAACATCTGACGAATGAATAAATTTACTTAGGAACGCTGTGAGTAGCTCCCAGCAGGACAGCCAGGTATGAGGCTCTGAGGAAGCAAAGCAACCTTCAAAGAGTGGTTTCAGAGTGTGGCAGAGGCCTGTGGCCACACCAGTCTACAGTACTAATGGAACCATGCCTCCAAGAGGAAGAAATGGGGCTTTCCAAGGCTGGGGCTACCTCCCAGATCCAGAAGTACAAAGTCCAAGTTCAGAAGGCAGAGTCAGCCCAAGCAAGAGGAGATGGAAGGCCAGAAGAGCAACTGCCCAGGCAGGGAGTTTGGACGAGGTTGTAGGGTTTGGGGAGAATTTGGTGGCCTCCAGGAGGCAGAAGACTCCCAATGTTCAGGCTGTGAAAAGGCTGTGTCTGGAACCGGGACACCAGCACTCTCTCCACGATGCTGATGAGGCATCAGACAGGCTGGAACAGAGTGGGCCTGAAAACTGCAGAAAGGATGCTTTGAGGGCTTGGAGGCAGCACAGGATTGCCATACCCACCCCTCACATAGTGGGCCTCCCTGCCTTTCCCCTGCATTATCAGAGCAGAGGGACAGTAGTGGCCTGCCTGAGGCCTGTAGCCAAAAGTTTTACCACTCGGGTGCTTAAAAACACACCAATCTTGTCAACAGTCTTGTGAGTAGCAAGGAGCTGGGAAGGAATCAGGAAATCAGGATCCAAAAGAATCATGACAGGGCAATCAAGGAAGCTCTCGGGAGGGAACAAGCCAAGCATGGACACGAGCCACTGACCATTCAGCAGGGCAGGTTGAGATTCACCTGCCAATGTCGGGGAGGCAGAGGACCTGGGCCAACCCCAAGCCCACAGGCAACAAGTCCAAACTATGGGAAGCCTGGAGCCATACCAAGGGAGGACACCACCCATCCAGGCTGTGACATCTCCAGGCCAGGTAGATGTGGGCTTATCCAGATTCCTGTGCTCTGACCTGGTGCCTCATTCTCAGGAACTCAAGGAGTAGCCCCGAGGGAGAGAACCACGGGCAAGGGTACAGGAATGAGGAAAGGAGGAGGGGTCAGTTGTAGGGAGTGGGGGCAGAGCTGGGCTGGCACAGGCCCCCTAGCCCACGGAGTCTTTCCCCTGCCAGCTTCTCCCCAGCTACCTGCCACCACCTGGAGAGGCAGCAAAGAGCCAGCTCTCCAGTAGACAAATAACATGCCCTTGGCCAAGGAGGCAGCACATGGATGCCCTGTAGAGAGGAAGCCTCCTTGAGAGAGCTGAGGGTGTTCACAAAAGAAGTGACACTGATGATACTGTCCCTCTATACAAAGCAGCTCCTCTGTACAATGCTGGGGCTCAGAAGAGCAAAGCAGAGGACAAGAGATGGGGGTGGAGCGTGGGAGAAGGAGCATCACTCTAGTCCTCGGCACCTCCTAGTAGGCGGGCAAAAGAGCCCGGTGGGAGGTGTGAGGGGGCAGGGCCAGAGCGGGGTGTGGGGGGGTAGGGCACACCAAGCACAGAGAGCACACGATGCCCAGCCTGTGCACACCACAGCCTGCAATGGGGCTGACAGATCCGGCCCCATGTGCACACCTTGGGGAAGGAGAGGTGCTCCTGAGCTGGCCCCAGTCACCCCCCTGCTGCCACAATCCCCAGGAAGCCAGCCCCCTCCTATGCCCCATGAGGTACCTTATCCTGCATTGTCCCCTCTCTCCACTTTCCCTTGTCAAATCTCCACCACTGCAAACAAAGCTGTTCTTCACACTGATTCCTCCTCAGCTCCTGTCTCACACTTCATCCGTTCACTACCAAGTCTCTCCATGAAGGTGTCATCATACACACTTCCAACTCACTGTGCAGCCTGCTCCCGCATGGGAAGGCCCATCGCGCGGTGCATTCCACAGCGCAGGGCCAGCGACACCCAGGCTCCTCCTGCCGCCCTCCTCACACGCCACAGACCCTCAGACTTGGTCTCCAACACACTCATCTCACCCAAAGGCGCCCTCATCCCGCATCTGTCCTGCATCCCCACGCAGGGCTGGACCTCTGGCCCTGTCTCCAGAGCCGAGACCAGGACAGCTCCCAACCTCTTCCCACTCCCTCAGCCCCCTCCTAGCAGGCAGCTGCTGAATGCCGGTCTCCATCCTCCCCTCTCCCCAGCCTCCCTCTGGCCACCTACCACACCCCCCCATCTGCTCCTTTCATCCTCCACAGAGCAGCCAGAGTGATCTTCTTCCTAAAACACCATCCAGACCCCAGCACTACACAGAACCCTCCGTGGTGCACACTGTCCTCAGAACACTGGCTGGGCATCACAATGGCCTGTGGGGCCACCTGAAAGCCCACGGTCCTGGCCTTGGTGCAGCAGGCGTGCTCCCCGGATGTGGAGGGAGGGGCACACCACGGTCCCAGCCTCTGACCAGCACCGGGCGCTGAGAAGGCACGGCTGCCCTTCCCTTCCTCACTCGCAAGAGCCAGGTCCTGATTCCGCTGCAGCCAGTGAGTCCCCACACCTTCCCAGGTCCATAGAGCAGGACAGGGTAGGACAAGAACCAGAACCTCTCACAGGCCCAGAGCCCAAGGCCTCTTCCTCCAAAGGGGTAACCAGTCCGGGGCAGGCCTTCTCCTGAAAGGGGCTTCTAGATCCACCAGGGCACGTGGAACAGACTCTGGCCAGGAAAACACAATCATTCGTGGCTGCACGCCCATTCCAACCACAGAAGTGTGCATCACACCTGTCATGGCACAATAAGACAGGGCAGGAATGTGCCAAGGGCACTGGAGCTTGAGGAACAGGGTTGTTCCCTGGTCCTGAGATGAGGGTCCTGACACAGTATCCATGACCCAAAAACCTTGACACAGGGATTGTGGCATCATCAGTTGTCCCAGCACCTTTGCCCCATCATCACCCCATCACCACACACTCACCACCACCACCATCACCCCCATCACTGTGACCATTGCCACCACTGACCCATCACCAACACCTTTTGCCCCCATTGCCCCCATCACTGTCACTCTCTCCCCCACATCAGAACCCATCAATCACCTGCTGTCCCACCCCATCACCTAGGTCAATAAAACCCCCACCCTAGCCCCTCAATTGTCAACCCCAACTACAGTCATCCCCATCACCACCACCCCAGCACACTCATGAAGATACAACCTCTCAACTTAAGGATAAAAGATCCTCGTGGCCAGACATTGTGACAGCTTCTCTGGAGCTCCACGCAAATGACTTGGCCATATCAGTCCCCACAGCCCTCACCCTAGTCCACCTGAGACCCCTTGTCACCTCTGCCAGGAAGATGCACCCAGCCTGCAGGCTTTATTTACCCTGACATGGGGTCGCTGTCCAAGCTGGAGCGAAACCTCAGCGCTGAGCCCAGCTGCTCCAGCGGCTTCATGTCGGTGGGCACGCTGCAAAGAGAAAACTCATGATTAACACTTGAGCCCCACCTCACTTATCAGGAACAAACACACTACCTTAGGGCACACATATACTGGTGCTGTGCAGCCTCAATGGCCTTCTAAGGATGGATATCACACACACCAAGATATCAGACCACGATGCCACACATTCTCCCAGGTACACATGGCACAGTCTACAGGCTAGACCATATGTTAGGCCACAAAACAACTTTCACTAGATTTTAAAAGATAGATATCATACCAAGTATCTTCTCTGACCATAACATGAAACTAAAAATCAATAACAGAAGACTACTAACCACAAAATTTTTTTTAAAAAAGTGTTAAAAAATCTTGTATCTTGAGAAACTAATTAACATGGTACAAAAAACAAACAAAACAAATGAACAAACAAAATACCTGAGTTGTTTTTTGTTGAATAAGAAAGCATAAAGAAAGTTAACAAAAATGTACTGAACAAAAAAGAACTGAATGATAATGAAAATACTACAGGTCAAAATGTGTGAAACAGCTAAAGTAGTCTTCAGAGGGAAATGTATATCTTTAATAGCATTTATCAGAAAATAAGAAAGATTTTTAAAAATGAGATGGAGGGCCGGCCCGGTGGCGCACTGGATAAGTGCGCCGCTTGGGAAGCGTGGCGGCGCTCCCGCCCGAGGGTTCGGATCCCACATACAGACCGGTTCTGCTCACTGGCTGAGCGAGGCGCGGGAGCAACGCCGAGGGTTGCGATCCCGTTGCCGGTCCCCGGTCCGGTACGGGGGCGACACTGAGGGTTGCGATCTGTTGCCGGACATGGAAAAAGACAAAAGACAAAAAATAATAATAATAAAAAATAAAAATGAGATGGAGGCTGGCCAGTTGCTCAGCTGGTTAGGATGGAAGGAAAAAGACAAAAGACAAAAAAAAATAATAATAAAAAATAAAAATGAGATGGAGGCTGGCCAGTTGCTCAGCTGGTTAGGATGGAGCCTTGTAACACTGACACCAAGGATTTGGATCCCAGTACTGGCCAGCTGCAAAGTAAATAAATAAATAAAATGAGATGGTATTAAACTCAAGAAGATAAAAAAACAAACAAAAAGTAACAGAGTGAACCCAAAAAACAAGGAAGAAATTAATAAAGGTAAGTACAAAAATAAAACAGAAAACAGCCATAGAAAATAATAGAGATTAATAAACCAAAGCTGATAGACCTCTGACAAGACTAATCAAGACACCAAAAGAAAAAAAATACGTAATAAAAAGAAGAAATAACTATAGGTACAACAGAGATTATAAAAGTAATACCTTGTTTGGATTCTGATTTGAACAAACCACCTATGAAAAGGCATTCTGGAAACCAGTAGAAACAGATGAGTATTGAAAGCTATCAACGAAAGACCGTGAATTGTGTCAAATGTGTTACTGATGTAGGGTAATATTTCTTTTTAAATGCCTCATTTTTAGTGATGAAAACTAACACTTAAGGAGAAATTTTTATGGTGTCTGAGATTTGCTTTAAAATAATCTAGGGGAGGGGTCGGCCCGTGGCTCACTCGGGAGAGTGCGGTGCTGATAACACCAAGGCCACGGGTTCGGATCCCATATAGGGATGGCCGGTTCGCTCACTGGCTGAGCGTGGTGCTGACAACACCAAGTCAAGGGTTGAGATCCCCTTACCGGTCATCTTTTTAAAAAATTAAAATAAAATAAAATAAAAATAAATAATCTAGGGGGAAAAAAAGTGATGGGAGGTATATGGAACAATGGTGTCAGAGTGTTGGCAACTGTGGCAGCAGGCGATGGACACATGGAGTTATTAAATTATTCTCTCTGCTTCTGTATTTACTTGAAACTTCCCAAAACTGAACGTAAAACAAGCATTAAGAACAACTATACCTTAATAAATTTGCAGGACAAACACTAAAGCTAAGGAGAAAATATTTTTTAAGAAATCAGTGTGAAGGCTTTGGAAAGCAAAGACACACTGAAGAATACTGGGCTGGGATGCAGTGGTGGGGAGGCTGGGAACAAAGATCCATGAGAGGAGCCTAGCACCTGCAGTTCTTTTTCTCCTGGGGACATTAGTCAATTTCAAGGGGTGGCTGAGAGGCTAAGCAGCACTTCTGGAAGCTCTAGGAGGCCAAAACAATTAGATCCAGAGCCCACCAGGTGAGAAGGCCCTGATGACCTCCATTCTCCCGGGCTGGGACCTGAAAAGCTGCATCTCGGGAGGAAGAAACTGAGTAGACAGCTCAGCTTCTAGTCATCTCAGTCTTTGCAATTAGGCCAAGGGGATCTTAGAGTGCTAGTTTCCCTGGCAGAAGCAACATAAATCCTCCCTGGAGAAAATCCTGAGCTCCAAATTTCTACAATCAATTTTGAAAATGCAATGTTAGGCACACAATCAAAAATTTTTAGGAACACTAGGAGACTAGATAGTATAAATATAAAACTGCAGAAATAACTGAAAATAGAAACATCCACAGGGGCTTCAAATATTGAAGTTATCAGGTACTGACATTAAAATAACAACACGTACACTGTTTAAAGATTAAACGATGAGATTGAAGAAAAGAAGAGTTTCAAGAGATTAAAAGATGGAGCAATTCAGAGGAGAACTTGAAATATATTAGATATTTAGCTGGAGATTTCTAAGCAAGCATTGAAACAGTGGCTTGGTTCCTCTTGACTGCTTATAGTAAAATGCAAGAAAAGAAAAAATGAATTGAAGACGGAATTGTTATGCAAAAAGAAACCAGAATAAAAAGATTTGGACAATCTCAGCCTATCCATATTACAGAGAATACTAAGAGTATAGTCCAAAAACCATTTGATAAGGAGATTACAATGGGTGTAAATCATGGACCTAATCAGCCATTCCAGCAGAAACACTGCCAGTTTAAATTGAATGGGACAGAGATGGGAAGGAAAGAAGGAAGGCTGTTGGACTTCTTAGATCCTGCAGGACCAGACCATAGAGCTATTTGTCTGTGAACATGTGGTATTCTTCAAGACAAGAAAAAGGACGATTCAGATTCATCAAGGCTACCACTCCCACCACAGGCCCAGAATGCACAGGCCAGGGGGCAGGGTTGCCTCTGCCTTGGTTTTGAAGGCCAGAACCCTGACTCCAGTGGGACCAGAGTAGACAAAGAGGATTATTCTCAAGCCTTAAAGCCTAACAGAGTTTGCCTTGCCAGGTTTTGGACTTGCTTGGGACCCACAACTTCCTACAGATTTTTCCCCTTTGGAAAGGGAATGGCTATCCTATGCCTGTTCCACCGCTGTATTTTGGAAGTACATAACTCATCTAGTTCCACAGGTTTCACAGTTGAGGAATTTTGCCTCAGAGTGAATCCTACTGTCTCACCCATATCTGACTTAGACAATATTTAGATGAGGCTTTAGACTTGAGACTTGAAAGTTGATGCTGGAACTAGGTAAGAGTTTGGGGGCTGTTGGGATAAAACGTATTTTGCATGAAAGAAGGGCATGAATTTTGGGGAGCCAGGGTTGGAATGATATGAACTGAATGTTTGTGTCCCCCCCAAATTGTTAAAGCCCTAACCCCCAATCTGATAGTATTTGTAGATAGGGCCTTTTGGAACTGATTAGATTTATTTATTTATTTTTTTTTTTTTTTTAAAGATGACCGGTAAGGGGATCTTAACCCTTGACTTGGTGTTGTCAGCACCACGCTCAGCCAGTGAGCGAACCAGCCATCCCTATGTGGGATCCAAACCCCGGGCCTTGGTGTTATCAGCACCGCACTCTCCCGAGTGAGCCACGGGCCGGCCCATGGAACTGATTAGATTTAGATGAGTTCATTTGAGTGGAGCCCTGACAATGATGGGATTAATGCGCTTATAAAAAGAGGAAAAGACCACGGTCTAGGGCTCTATTCCTATACCAGCCAGCTACCAAAAAAAAAAAGCAAAAAAAAGGAGGAGAAATTTGATCTCTCTGCATGCATACACCATGTGAGAACAAAACCCAGAAGAAGGCCCTCACCAAGATCATGCAGGCACCCTGATCTTAGACTTCTGCCTCCAGAACTGTGAGAAATAAATGTTTGTTGTTTAATCCACCAAATCTACGGTATTTTGTGCCGTCCAAACTGGCTAAAGCACATGCAAAACATTCACCAAGTTTCACGGAGTATATGCTGGGCCATAAAATCAGTCTCAATAAATTTCAAAAGACTGAAATCTTAAAAGAAAACAACACAATGAGTATTACTACAGCCACCAAAATTGCTAAAATTAAAACTTTCTAGGAAATGGTAATGATCTCTATCTTTTTTTATTGTAACTGACAAAAATTGTATATATTTGTGATGTACAACATGATATTTTGAAATATGTATACACTGTGGTTAAATTGAGCTAATTAACAAACGCATTACCTCACATATTTATTTTTTTGTGGTGAAAACTCTTAGCAATTTTCTTTCTTTTTTTTTTTTTTTAAAAAGATGACCGGTAGGGCCGGCCCGGTGGCACGCTGCTACAGTGCGCCGCTTGGGAGCGCGGCGGTGCTCCCGCCGAGGGTTCGGATCCCACGTGGAGACCGGTTCCCGCTCACTGGCTGAGCGAGGTGCGGGCGCAGCACCGAGGTTTGCGATCCCGTTGCCGGTCCCGGTCCGGTACGGGCGCGACACTGAGGGTTGCGATCCGTTGCCGGACATGAAAAAAGACAAAA